GGCCGAGGATTTAGCTCAGTGGTTTCGCCGCCTGCTGCACAAGCACAAGGACCCGAGTTCAATCCCCAGTACCAAAAAACAAAAACAAACCAAGAAGTACTCTTTATTCCTGCTTTACTGTCTAGAAAGCAACCTTTAAAGGCCATTTTTATCACTGGGAATTGAACAGGGAAAGCATGCAGGAGTGAGCCCTGTCAAGTTTTAAAGCAGAGTACAGGGTGTTTACTACAGTAAGCTCCATGGAGTGACCACGGGGCAGATGCTTCCTGAGTGCAGAAAGAAGGGGTAAAATCTTCAGAGACTCAGTGAACCAACCTGGCTGATGCTCGAGGACCTTACATGACTTTGCTATTCACTATTTCATTGCTTAGATAGCAATATTGTACCACATTTTATGGTTTTCAAAGATTATAGGTCTAGATCCAACAATTTGATTTCTGAGTATATATCCAAAAGAATTGAAAACGTGTTACCAAAAGATAATTGTCATGTATGTACGTACTAGCATTATTCACAATAGCCAAAAGTGGAAACAGCCTATGTTCGTTGATAAATGTATAAACAAAGTACTGAACATACAAACAGTGGAATGTGATTTGGCCTTAAAAGGTGGTTGTGATACGTACCGCAATATGGCTGAAACTTGAGGATATTACGCTAAGTGAAATGAGCCACCTACAAAAAGATAGATACAACAATTCACATGTATTTAAAGTCATCAAACTTATAAAAGCAGAAAGTAGAATGGTGGTTGCCAGGGAGCAAAGGATGAGGAAAATGAGGAGTCTTGGTTTAATGGGCATACAGTTCCAGTTTTTCAAGATGAAAAAGTTCTGGTAATTTTTTACGTAATAGTGTGAATACATGCACTTAAAATGGTTCAAGATAATAAATTTTATGTTTTATGTATTTTACAACAATTAATTAAATATATAGGTACATAGATAAAGATATAGATGTGTTTTAGTAATAAGGATAAAAGGTCCTGGAACTGACCCTTACTATTTTCAGTAGCCTTCTATTTTATGACTTCACCATCCTTGTTGAAGTGTAGATTCAGGTAACCTTCACCTCTATTTCTATAATCATAATCCCTACCTTAAGTCTATATGTTGTTATCAGTTTGGTAGTAAATATCTTTTTTAAAGTGATACATCTGAGACTGTAGGTTCCTGTAACACCCTTTTGAGGGAACAAACAAAATATTATGAAGATATTTCTGTGAAAATTTTAATAAAGAATTTAAAAATACTGTGGCTTCAGATTATAAGGAGAAAAAATGATTATCCTTTGTATACGTTGTATATGTCTTGTTTTCAATTTTTAAATAGAAAAATTGTTATACATTTTTGGAACCAAAAGTTTGAGGATGTAAACATATTCCTCAGATTAGCTAGATATATCCAAGTATCCAGAAATCTCCATTTGAAAGCTGCCATATCTGTGATTTACTATATAGTATAAACTGGGTGCTTTCAGTACTTTTGGGAACTAATCTGCATTGTTGACAGTTGGAAAATAGAACCTCATGATAATCTTTTTCCCATTAGAAAAGCTCAAGGTGTGTTCTGAGTTTGCTTATTTGTTTGGGTTTTTAAAAAGTAAGAGAATTATAGCTCTAGAATACCTAAAAGAAACAATTAAAAGACTTGAAGATTTCTGGTATTCAGACTGAGGTCTGGAGTCTTTGCAGGGAAGTTGCCAAACACAGAGCCCCATCTAAAAACACATAGGGCCATTCTTCATTCCACAGTGGTGTCCTGTTAAAAACACACTTCCGGGTCACATGTGAAGCTAGAGTAAGGCCCCATGAGACTATTTATCACAAATATGACTAGATGTTCAAAACTTCTGTGCCAGAACTACGCAACATGAGGGAGACTTAAACCTTAAACTTAAACTTAAAGAGCCATAGTTGACAATTTCTTAAGTTTCATTGCACTGTATAACTTGGGTTGCTGTGAAGTATTTGACTCCTCTATAGGATAGATTATTTAAAGCTAATTTAAAAGTATGTCTCATGAAACTATAAATTGAGATAGAACAGATTCGCCTAAGTAGAGAATTCTTTGAAATGTCTTTAATCAAAACCCTTCTTATGATTCAGAATAAAGATACTCTTTCATACTTGTATAGTGTTATAGTTCACTCATTCATATCATCCTATTATTTGGAACCAAAGTTCAGAATGGTTTTTAGCATAAACCAAATTTATATCCTTAGGGGTCATTAAGATGGAATTGTGGTTAGCACAGTTATGTGGATTCACGCTGCTTAACTCTCACTTGGATATAATGTTAACAAGTCAGTTCAATCTGCTCTAACCTTTAAACAAAGCAGAACTATACATGTAATATAAGTGCCAAATTAGCACAACTAAAACCAAATAATAACAATTATGGCATATCCCGGGGTTGAAAATTATGTAGTCATTAAAAATCACACTGTATAAGAAAGTTACATGTAGAGTATTTTTATTGAAATGACAGATATTCACAATAAATTGTTACATGGTTTTAAAAGGCTACCAAAAAGTACAAAATAACCATTTTATTTAAATGCATATTTTATTTATCCATACAAATATGATAATATGTGTAATTTTTAAAAGGCAGATTAGAAAGGCCCACAAAAATTTTTTTCCACAAAAATTATTTAATAGTGACATGTACTCAGTACTGGAATTTTCAGTGATTTTTTTTTTTTTTTTCCGGTACTGGGGATCAAACTCTTGGGTCCTTGCGCTTTCGAGGCAAGCGGCAGAACCACTGAGCTAGATCCCCGGCCCTTCAGTGATTTTTCATCTTCCACCTGATATATATATTTCTGTAAGCATGGACATACTTATTTTATCAATTCTCTAACCAATAAAAATGTAGTATGGCCGGGGATTTAGCTCAGTGGTTTCGCTGCCTGCCTCTCAATCACAAGGTCCTGAGTCCGATTCCCGGTACCAAAAAAAAAAAAATGTAGTGTGTACTATGTACATAAGGACACAAAAGCTGTACATACTTTTTAATACAAATTTAGGTGGGCCTTTTACTAATTAATTAGTTTAAGATGTTACACTGCTAATTGGCTACTTAATTGTTTGGACCCTGTAGCATGAACCAAGCAGATTTATTCTTGGTTCTGTTTTAAATGGGTGATGCTTATTGTATAGAAAGCTGAAGATGATGAGCCAGCATGACATTACTTTAGGTTAGTCATGCTTTTTAGAATCCAGTGCTTACAAGCTGTGTGCATATGTTTCCAATAAAGACTTTGCCACAGCAGAAGATGACTTTCTTTTAACATTTGCGCTTCATTTTCACACTGCTGTTTATTCATTCCTAGTTCTTTGACTTGCACTGGTTCTCATCCCTTGCCAGTGCAGTGTCTTCCAAGGTTTTCACCTTGGCAAGCTTAAAAGGTAAGCCCTGCCAGCTCAGAATATCCACCTGTGGGGGATCTCAGAAGTGATCCCCAAACACCTGTGTCATTGCGTGCCCCCTCTCATAGCTTTGTTCACACTGACCTTATAATAGTTGGTTGTGATCTCTCTCCCCGGGAGACAGACTACTTATCAAGGCAATGGTCATCTTAAGAATTGCCATCTGTTGAGTGCTTACCGTGAGCCAGAAACACCACTCCCACTTTGCATACATTAAACTTTGTACTCTTATGAAAAGTAAATGTCATTTTCTCCATTTGATAAATGGAAAACAAAGGCTTTGGTTTCGAACAAGCTGGAACATGAATACAGAGCTCTCATCTCTAGAGAAAGAACCAGAACTGGAAACCAGAAACCTAATACTGTGCCTTTCTTGATGAAAGGGTTTAGTGGTCCAGCTGATAAACTGGTATATCTTCACAGTCCTGTCAGCTCTGAAGTCCATGATGCTGTCTAACCATTTTTTCAACCCATGTATGAATGAAATAGGCTGATCTTTCCTTATATGCACTATTCTCACAGTATTGAGGTTAAAGAGTAGGTTACCCTTAGCAATTCCAGATTTCAAGAGACCATAACATTATGGCCGGTGTCTTAAATTCCTACTTTCAGCTACTGCTTCTGAGCTTCATATTTTGTATCGAATTTTATTGGACCTAAAATTAGGAAAATAATCTGATCTATTTACAGATTGCCCTCTTGTTCCATATTGGTTAATAATGATAGTCCAAGAAACACTGCCCCTAGAAACACTGCCCCATTTTGTTACAGATGGAAAGCATTTGGTCTCAAAGAAGTTAAATGGCTTGCCTCATTTTACACACTTACTGACCTAATAAAGGAGTGCATTGGCAATTTGAGCCCAGTTTTTCTGGATTCTGGTTTGATTTATGACTGTCTCTTGCTAGTGTTGTGACAGTTACCTAACTTCACTTTCTTGACCTATAAAATGGAGTAATGAGATTATTTACCTCAACAATTGTTGTAGATTAAACAAGTTATTCAATGAAGGTGCTTAGAATAGTGCCTGATACATAGTGACTGCTTAGTGTAGTGGTCATTATAAAAATTATAACCACCATTAATAGCATTATGAATATTCACTAGATCTTCTTTGTTGAAATAACATATTAAACAAGAAGGAAGATGCAAGGCAGTAGTTCCGCCATCTGTCTCTCAAGCACAAGGTCCTGAGTTCGATACCCAGTACCAAAAAAAAAAAAAGAAGGGAGATGCATTCCTCTCTTGCCTCCTGTTACTTCCCCTCCCTGACATTAACTCTCGCACCAGTTTGGTATATATCCTTCCAGAACATTTCCTGTGACTTGGAAACTATTTTTAAGTTGTCTTCTCATTAATAAAATGGTTGAGAGTGAAAAGTTTTGTAGTGTTCTTGACAGTGGAGAATGGAGAAATAGGAAGACCAATTCATTCATTCAGCTAATATTTCTCCATTGTCTACTTTATGCCATGCACTCAGCAAAGTGCTGAGGGTTCAGCGTCACACACAGCACTTGGTGAATTTCTGTTTTGAGCACTTACTGACTTTATTTTTGGTTTTATCTAGGATATGATGTTTCAGCTTCTTCGAGGTCTGGACTTCCTTCATTCTCACCGAGTGGTGCATCGTGATCTAAAACCACAGAATATTCTGGTGACCAGCAGTGGACAAATAAAGCTTGCTGACTTTGGCCTTGCCCGCATCTATAGTTTTCAGATGGCTCTTACTTCAGTGGTGAGTAAGAGCACTGTCCTTTCATTAAACTTACTTTTCCTCTTTTGAATGACAGACTCCCCACCTTCTGTGCTCCTAAAGTTATTATTGCCTATGGTTAGTGTCAACTAGGAAAGAATGTCTTTGCATTTTTTATATGGTAGTGGGTAAGAGGAAAGCATTCTGCTTACAACTACAGACACATCCGGGCTGGGTTTGTTGTGGACAGGATTGGTTGCAGAAATAGCCTATTGCATCTTAGCCACTAGAAAGGAATCAGTTACAAGTTTCCAAATGCTTTTTACCATAACCACTGTTTTCAGAGCTGTGTATGTAATGATGGGAAAACACTCAGCTAAAGGCCAGAAAGCACTGAGAATATTGATCCGACTGACTATCCTGGCTTGAGAAATAACCAGTGTCTTACCCAGGCACTCCTCTGAACATGGTGCCGAATGTGAAAAAATTAAATTGACAAGGAACTTGGATGACCCTTGAACTGGTAGCGCTGCTCTGGTGAAGACTTCATCTGAGCCAGAATAGAAAGTGAACCCAAAACCCTGTTTTGGTAAACAATGAGTTACAATATCCTTCCTGTTCTTTGTCTCATTCAGATGCAAAATCGTATGAGCTATTGACTTTAGTTAGCTTCCTTATTGTTTTGGAGATGGATTTTTGTGAAATTATGCACCCAAGCTATGAAAACAGCAGCATGAAAGTAGGAATTAATATCCCTTTTCTTTGAAATACCTATTTTATATACAGTATATTCATGCAAAGATACAAGAAGCCAAGCAGTGTCCTTTTGCTGTGCTACTTATTTTGAAGCAGGAGTATAATGCAGAGAATCCCTTTGATTTGATAAGGACTATGGAAGTGTTACCCTTAAACACATTAAATTAAGCTTTAAGAAAAATAATCCAGATGTAGTCTGTGTTTAACCTCAGAGAGGTTCTCAGATCAGGGCAGCACTGTCCTGGGTGGGAGGCACTGTTGAGAAATACCTAGACATCACATTGTATCATTAGACATCACAGTGACATGGGGAATTGGGTAGCTGCTTTTGATATTTGGTGCACATGTTTGAAAGAGGCTAACAAAACACTTTGCCCAAGGAAAAATTGTTTCCTCAAACTCAGTAATGCATCAGCTGATGAGTAGAAACTCAGGAGAGAAGTTGGAAATTGTGTGAGACAGGTAACTTGCCTTGGGAAAAATCCAATTTACAAATGTTCTGCTTCCCCTTTGCTCCTTCCCTACTCAAAATACGAGTAGTGCAACCTGCACTTGTAAAATTTGTTACATTCCCAACATTATTTTCTTTACCCAGAATCCTTGAAGTATGTTACCATTTTTGAAAGATAAATCATACTTGCTTCCTCTTTGCCCAGAATACACCAGTACTTTTGAGAAGATAAGGCAGGTTGATATTTGAAGAATAGATTCTCCTTTAGACGAGGTCAGACAAGCCCTTGTATTCTTACATAATCACACCAAAAGGGTTGAGTTTGTGTTTCCCAAGTGGGAAGGGTGAGGTAGGCTTTGGGCTTCCCTAGGAAGTTATTGCACATGTAGTTCTGGGGCCCTGGGGAGAAGCATGAATAGGCTTTGTGGTCCAGGAGAGTCATTGGGGAGCAGATGAAAGAACTGGTCTCCTTGAGTACATAAATTGAGGGAAGGATGAGCTGTAACTGAGCTGGACACTTTATTCTAATCGCCTCAAGTGGCACTAATATCCGTAAATAAAAGCAGGAAATCCAGTTGGTTTTTGTTTTGATTATCTTTTGCCTGTTAAATTTGAGGATGGATAGCCTAGCCTGCATATAATGTTAATTAACATTCCATTCTTGCTGAAAGTTGATATTTGAAAACAGGAAAATGTAGACAAATTTCATATTCAGAGTAAAGGGGAGCCCTATGCTGGTTGCTCTAACCATGTTTCCTTCATGGGGCACAGAGCCCAGTATGCCAACGGGTCCTGCCTCAGAGACCTCTAACCTGCCCTCAGGACATTGACATACCTTGACCACATGGGAGCTGCCTGGGATCATCCTTCCTAACAGCAGATTGTGCCACTTGTGTATTTGTCCCTAGCCAGGGTGAGTTGTTTGCAGACATGTGGACAGAGATTTGACGTTCAGACTGGAATGTCTGTAAACTTGTATGTGAAGTCCCTTGTGGGTTACAGAGCTGGAAATGAGGGGAGAAATAGGGTCGATTATACCTAGCTCCTGATGTGAGTTGTTTTTATCAGAAAAGTTTCTCTGAAACCATGAAAAATCAACTCTCCTGACCTATACTGAACAATTCTGTGTGTGGAAAACCAAAGAGAATAGGTTATGTGGAGCTTGTTTCCATTGCAATAAGTTATATGAAAGAATCATGACCCATATATTTATGTAATCGCTGTGTCAAAAATGTTTCCAGAATATACATGTATTTAATACAATGACTGTTAAGACTAGCTTAAATTATATTTAGAGTCATTCTAAGGTCAATATTCCTGAGTACTTCCCATGTGAAATGCAGTATCTGGTCCAACTCATTTTTGTTGTCAAGGAAAAGAAATTACGAAGAACCCTCAGCCAGTTTCAGTCCTACCTGATAGTGCACCCAGGTCTGTCAGAGTGAGTCTCAGAGCAGAGCCAAGAACATCACCAGCTGCCCCAGTGAGGACTCTGATCATCATAAAGCCTATAGCCAGCAACTCAAGGAGGAAATTATCTTCTTTTCTGTTTATGATGTAAAACTTGGTTGTTTATTTTTCTTAAACCTAACCATACAGCATTCAAGGTGATCTTATTGCCTTTGGTATTTTAGGATCTCTTTATCAACCATCTCATACTGAAAGTGAGGAAACTGAGACTCAAACCAGATTAAGTCTGAATTCATCAACTAAATTGTGAATGGCTTAGAGAATTATGATGTTTCTGATCTGGCTCTTACCCCAATCCCCGCTTCCCTTTTCTCCAGATTAGAGGCTTCAGTACCTCAAAGAATATCAAACTTTGTTTCTTGGAACTCTCAGGTTCTAGAAACTATCCAAATGTGCCACAAATGTTCAAGAGTCCATTTTTTACAATATTTTTAAGTCTTATTTTTTTTTAAAAACCCAGCTGCTACCACATTTTGACACAGTGGGGAACACTGAAGCATGCACTGTCACTTCTTGGTTTATTTTTTATGCATATTTCAGAATAAAATTTTGACATTCCTGTGCATCTGAATATCTTGGATATGTATTATTAGGGTAAATGATGCATTCTCTCAGTCATTCCTATGTGTGTATCTGCTCCCTTAAATCATCCAGGGGCATAAATGGCTGCTCATGGATTGTGCTTAACTTGCTGTACGAGACTTCTTTTAGACATTTTTATACCCAGATGTGAATCCCAATACTGAGAAAGTAAGGGCCAGTCACTCTCTAGGACAGTCACAATAAAACTACTCATGGATAGAAAGAAGCCTACACCATAAAATGAGACCGTTTCTTTTCTTACCTCCCTAACATCAGCTGCTGGGATGAAGTCCAGGATTGGCCTACCTTAAATCAATTTCTTCTCTACACTAAACAGTCTTATCATGACTTTTTAGTGTAATCATTTGGTACTTAGTAAATTAGTATTTTTTCTTCTAATGCCTGTACCTAACATATAGTTTGGAGGAAATTTCCACAATACATAAATAAAAAACCTAGTAAGACTATTATTAGTGAGTTTTTTAAAAATACAGGAATAATTTGGGAATTTTTAATGGAAATAAGATTCTAAAGATTGTTCTATTAAGATGACTAATTTAGGGCTGGAGATTTAGCTCAGTGGTTTTGCCGCCTGCTGCGCAAGCACAAAGACCTGAGTTCAATCCCCGGTACCAAAAAAAAAAAAAAGATGATTAATTTATTTACCACTACAAGTACTTCAAAATTTGAATTGTATACATCCTTTATACCTCTGACACTAGATGATTTCTTATGCTAACCTCAGTGTTCATAGTATTTATTAAAAACTAAAAGAAATTTTTGGATTCAAAGAAACTGTGGGAGAAAATAAATTTAATGAGTCATGGCTTTCAGTTAAAGAATTACTGATTACTTTCCATGTGCCAGGTTGCTGTCAGTGAACTTGAGAGATTATGGTGTACAAAAATAAGTAAGGTCATTGCTTTCAAAGAGTTTACAGGCTAGATGAGGAGACAGAGCTCCATGAAAGAGTCATACAAAGGAATATATAATTAGAAACAGAGCTAAGGTTCTATACAGTTTCTGTGCAGCCATATGACTCAGGAACCCACCAAGGATGGTGTCAGGGAAGCCCTCCCTGCTTGCCCATGCCAAGATGTAGGGTGCTCTTAGAGGTCACCACCATGCTCTTTTTAGAACTTGTCTAGATATATAGGCCCATGATGTGTGCATCATGCAATCTGTGTTTGTTTTTTGTGTATGTGTTTGGAGTAGCTCATTGTATAGCACCTACTTGGGACTACCAAGTGACAGAGTGAAGCAGGACCAGAGATCGGAGAACAATGTCATCTTTTACAGGAGAAAGTAAATTGTTTATGCTTGTTTCCACTTTGTGCATCTTGTATTTACTATGGAGACCTGGCAGGGTCTGTGCCTCTGCTTGGGCAGCTGAGTTGCTCCCACAGAAGCCTCCAGAAGCTGCCAGTGCATACTGAATAAATCAAACCAAGAGCATTACATGAGTATAGTGGAAAAAACCCAAAGCCCTGTGGCCTGAGCACCTCCGCAAAAGTGGAGGATACACCTCTGAAGAAGGAAGGGCCTCCAGAACTCCCTCCCCACTCAACATCTTGCCATGACACTACCAGGTCTGTTTGGTTAGAACTTCAGTTGCCAGTACATATTTCATAGCTAACAATGAAGTGTTTGTGCTGGTTTCGTTTTCACTTTTCCCAGTGAGGGAAGTGGAACACAATGGAGGCAGTGCACAGAGCTGGGAACAGGACACGTTTTCTTTAGGATTCCCAGGACTGGGTACGTGGAAAATGCCAGAGCCAAAACA